GATGAGTCCACCTTATCTGTTTCAAACACTGTAGGAAATACAAACGAAGAGTAAAAAGTCTAACTTGTTACTTGTCTGGTGCCTCAAGGTAATCCATATTCCTTTGTTAACCAATGTCATTAAGTACAATGGATATCCAGTTTTGGATATTCTAGGTCTCCTGTACAGGAAGTTTCCACATCGATACACAGAGGTTTATTACCTTATATTAAAGCAATTTTGGAGCCTCACCACGTCGTTACAGTCCATGTTGCATCGTCTGGACATGTCCAAAATACACTACTCTTCCCTGGGTTTAGTGTATGAGGATGACGGTTTTCCAGTGCTTATTTCAACAACTGCACCGAAATCCTTAGACGCTACTTTTGATAACCAGTGTATCTCCAAGCTACATGATCAGCATATTTTGCACATGCAAATAAACGAATATGTGTGTATATGGATCTAATAACATGGGCAATGAACATATTTTCAATCTTTCTTTACCAGTAGAAATTATAATCAACACATTTCTCTCCATATAATAATTCATTAAGTTTGAACTGTTATTGAATGTATATATAAACTACATACATTTTTGCATATTTATAAATAAACCAAATACGTGTCCAAAGAGACTTTTTGTTAAATTTCGAATGAAGCACCACGATAATTTTCAAGTCACATTAAGGGTTAGTGGCTCATAAAAACCCTGAGAGGTAACATGTTAATAAGAATCAATTAACGCTAGGGAATAAAACATTTTAGCAATCGTAAAGTCGAAATTCTGCTGGCCAATGATTAAGCAGGAGACATTACAATAGTGTAGGTACAGAAATATTCGTGCTCAGACGTATAAAATGATGGCACAAACAATACACATTATTGGAGAGAATGCTTGGAGTTTCAGTGAAGAAAATCTTTAAATGTGTAGCCGTCTATCACCTTTGAAAAACCTAAAGGTAATAAATGCATACTTGTGTTCTGTACTAAGTATTGGTATACTACTACTGGAGTTAAATCTTTCTTAAGTCTTAATAAATAGAATGATATCAGTTCTGTGTTTCGTGATTGCTTGATAGGTTATTGATTATTTGTTAATATCATTGGCTTGAGTAGGCCTATGAAGGCAAACATATTTTGCCCCCCCCCCTCACTCTATCCCAACCCAACAGATGCTTCGTTAATAAAACAATACACTAAATTATAACATGAATAAAAAAAAACACATTTCCGATTGTTTTGTGTAATACTGTGGTATGTGTGGTCTTCTAGTTTTTGACTCAAAAGGGTCCTCAAAGACATTAGCAATCGATATGTTCGCAGGAAAACGAAGTTTCACAGCAAAAAGGATGACGATATTTAAGATAAACAACATTGTTTATTTATAACAGAAGGGGTCACAGATAAACTTTCGGAATTCTACAGATTCCATCTTCAGCATCTAAAGCAAAATACAAGAATTACATCATTCCTAAGTAAATAACTAATATACCTTGCTGCGGTAACGATAATTTAATCAAAACTAAAACATATTGTTGCGTCATCGAAGTCACGTGACTGGTGTGGCGCCACCTATTTTCTAGAACTATCCTGTACGTGACTGGTGTGGGCTCTAGCATTTACTAGATATAGGGTAGACTGGTATATAAAAGAGGGTGACAACGTGACGGGACAATAATGCGTGTGTAGATAGTGAGTAATTGAACTGCAGTCAGAAGTATTGTTGACGTTCGTTGATATAGCGTTTATTTTAGCGTGATTGTTGAAAATAAGTGTATCGTAAAGGAAAGAATAAACCAGTTTTATTAAGAAAGGACTTGTGTCGCTAAAGTTTCGTCGGAACTAAGTTACGGAAAATTAATTAACAAACGGAGATGTAACAAATTGGTGTCAGAAGTGGGGTAGAAAAAAAAAGAGAAGAAAAATGGAAACGAAAGG